CTGGCACAAATCAAAGTGCTTTGACACTCTTTTCCACTGTGTACACAAACACCATGTTCCAGCAAATCAGTGGAATCAAAGCATCACTGAGGGGTCAATTCAGCATTTATGCACGTCACTTGCAGCAGACCCTGCTTATTGAATATTAAAATCTGAAATAAAAAGGCATTTACAATATTTCTGAAATATCCAGGCCTTTGATGAATAGCTCCCTCAAGATCATCCAGATGCGCTTTTGCTACAGCACCATATGCATTTAAAAAACCAGATTGTCTCTGTGTGAGAGTATCTGTCTTCAGTGAGGGATGAACATAGCTGCACAATGGGGCAAGAACACGTAAGAAGTCTGGTGGAAATCCTGCACAGGAAATGTTCACCAGTAAAAAATGTGGCCAGAAAATAACAGCAACATTAAGAAAAACTAAATTTACACTCACCATTGGTGTTCAGGGACTTCATTTTTTAAACTTCCTCCTGCTAAGAAACAAACATCAAACCAAATAGTCTAATTAAGGAAACTGTTGACTTGGATAGTTGGTGAAAAAGAGGAGCCTTAGTTAATTTTTGAACTTTGTTTGTGCACATTGTTTTTCAGTGTACAGTGGGACACTGGCCTGTGCATTCCCCAGATCTTTGCATACTTGATGTAAAAGTCATTTATCATTTAAGAAGGGTATGGTCATATTGGTGTCATTAATCATTCTTTCTGTTAGGACAAGGTAAGATGGACAGGTGTAAAAGAACTGGAAAGTCATACATGAATTTATCAGTGAAGATATTGACATGGAGAATCATATTCAAATGAGAAACCTAAAGGGTTTAACATTGCCTTTGCAAAGTTAAATACAGTGCTTTAGAACAAAAAAGCAGACAAAGATGAGGATCTAGGCAGAAGTGGTGAGTTCTGGCTTCCCACAAAGTCATCAAGGGCAGACTTCCTGGCCCATGCAGGACTTGACCCGCAAGGACAGATCAGACTTTCAAATTACACCACAGCAGTCATGATGGCAAGGGCCACAGCATCTTAAACCTTTCTAACCCAGGGCTGCCTGTGCCAGCCCAGGTGCTCCTGCAGGTAGTGAGGTGAGGGAGCTGGACTGACCCATCACCTCTGCAGGTGCAGGAGAGCCATTACCAGCTCCAAGCTGCTGTTGGGGTGTGGGAGGGTTGTGCACTGTCACTCCCCAAGTCAGGAGCTGCTCCTACCATGTGCACAGCTTTAGCCCCAGGGACATCTTTCATCCTGCAGTCCAGGACTGGGCATGGAGCCACACTCCAGTAGCTTGTCTGGCACAGAGGCAGGAGCTCCCAGCTAGAGATGACAAAACCAGCTTGGCTGGGGGTGCTGCTCACCACTCCCAGCATCCCAGTTCCCATCACGGCTGTGATACACGAGATGCTCACATGGGCTTTCAGTTGCTGGTTTAACTGGTCACATCTTCACCGGAGTTCAAGTTCCCTAAGGAGGTAATAATGAAAATGTGCCGTGACGGGAATTCTCATCTGCCATGCTAATTTAATGACTTGCTATAGAGCTAGTTAGTTGATTTGAAGGGCCAGGTGAAATAGTTTATCCAAATTACAGACTTAGCTGCCAAGGGGGCACAGGGAGGCAGGGCTGTGCAGCAAAATTCAATATGAGCCTTACATAGCTTTGAGATATTTTGCCTGTGACTTTCTGTTGCAGTCAGACTTTGGATTTCTGACTTTCTGACAACAGGGTCAGCACATAAACACAGTACTTCTTCCAGAAGGTTTTGTTAAATAAGGTTACTTGATTTTGAACATGTTTTCAAAGGTTGGGGCTGGACAACCTGAAAACCTTTTGTCTCTTGTGAAGGCTAGACTTGGGTTGCTACAGGGAGGGAAGCAGAGTTCAAAGTGTGAGGTCCTGTTAGACCTGGGCTCCTGGGGCCCATTGCAGTGAAACACTGATAGAAATCTGTGTGCAGTGATGTTGTGTGTGGCATGAAACCTGCTGCAGGGCAGGTATGGGGAGAGAGGGAGGGAGAGAAATGCTTAGGATTATTTCTGGTTTGTACCCAAGGGTGCCATTTGTTCATATAAGTATCCATAGCAGAATAAAATACATTTTATTGAAACATTTTTTTTCTCTTGCTGGCAGCTATTCCACTCCAATTATCTCTTCTATCGTATCCCTTGAAGCCAGGCTCCAAGGTAAACAAGTGAAAACATGACAGCTGGAATGCAAAGCCTCAGCTGAGATTGAAAGCTTTTACTAGAAAACATTCTGCACATTCATATTGTCTGGGGTGTTAGCAGTGGAAACGAAAATAGAGATTTCTTAATCTCACCAGAGACAACACCTTGCTGCCCCACCTTTGAGAAATCTCCAGTCCACAGCAAAGATTTAATCCATCTTAATTAACAAAGAACCCAAGTAGGCACACTCTCCACTTGTTCCTGATCTGGATTTCTCACATTCCTGAGTTTTGGTGTGTAACTTGCTAAGAAATTATTTTGCATTTGTAAAGATTCACTTGCTATGAAAATACACTGTAAAGCCATGTTGATTTAGCCTGAAATTTTACTTCAAAAGAGAAGATTCACATTATGTAGATGTGTCTGGCTTCAACCTAAGTTCAGAATAAAACATCTTTTTTTTTTAATTGGGATTTTTGATTTGTTTTTCACTGCAGTGTTGGATATCGCAGTTTAAAATTTAAAAATTACATCTTAGCAAAGCAGTAGTTTGAGAGAACATTACTTTTGTGAATACATGAAATTTCAGTATGATTCAAATCACCATGCTCTTTGCAACATTTTGATCCTGGGTGTGTTTTCTCTCTTCTCCTTGAAGACCTGTTGGGCAAGTGGGAGAGGAGAGAAAACCATGGTTGATTTTCTGCCATGATAAGGGCAGCATCTGAACAACAGCTCACTCTGAAGATGTGCTAGTGCAGCCTTCTGCTTAACCACAAAGACATTTTGAATTTCTTCTACTGGTTTTTGGACAGAGGGAAAAAAATCTTGATGTGTCTGAGATAATGTTTGCCAGAAATCCAGGTGATCTTCTCACCCCCTTCAGAGCAATTTAGATTTTACATTTCTACAGAGAAAGAACAAAGTCCAGGCTCAGGCTTGCCTCCAAGATGGTTCTCGGAGAGAAAGTCGTCTCCTGTGCAGCAGTGCCATCAGCAAACTGACACATTGTGAGACATTGTGAGGCACTGCATGGAAAAAGCAGCAGTGCCAGGTTAGAATCATGAGATCTTGTCTGCTCCTTGACCTTGTTTGCACAGGCAAACTCCATTCCTTGGATCAGCTCAGTGCCCTTGCGCCTGCTCGGTTTATCAGGTCAGGTCAGTGATCAGGCTTGAAAATCAGCCCAGCCAAAAAAACCCTAAAATCTGAGCTAAACCTATTTTCCAGCCAGAAAAGCCATTGCACAAAACTTCCAGTGTCACTCAGCAAAACAGATGAGGAGGGAGAAGAAGACTGAAGGGATGGGACAGTGGAAGAGCAGGACTGTTTATTGGCAGCTCAGCCACTGGTGTTAAGCCAGTAAAAAGCCACATCCTTGGAAGAGTACAGTTTGTATTTGCAGAGTCTCCTGGGACTCTTTAGTTCCAAGTTGTAAAAACTTCTTATACTGATGCCATCATCTGTGCTCAGTGCCCATCTACAAATGCCATGAACACATCTGGGTAATAAGAGCACATCCACCCCGGTGACGCTCCCCTGGGCCTGACCCACACAGCGAAGAGGAGCTGCCAGGGTGCACAGAACTGCTTCCCATGTCGTCAGCCTTCCCCAGCCCTGCCCACGTCTCCCGATTGTGTTGTAAAAACCCCATTTTTCATGGATGACAGTCAGGGAGTTCCACATTTGGCCTGTACAGCTCAGCAGCTGGCTCCCTGCTCGCCAGGCCATGCTCTGTCCGCTCCCACTGCAGACCACGACACCCGAGGACTGCGGCTGCTTTGTTCCTCCCAGCCTGACGCGCTTCCCAGCAGAGGGTGGGAGCTGGGCTGGCTGGAACCACAGGCAGCTGTTCAAAGTCTGTGCAGAGACAGAAATCCCCAGCTGTAGCTGTCTGTTCAAATAAACGCTCAGAGGCCAAGGCACTGCAATATGAGAAACACATTCCTAGAGGACATGGTTTCAAATAGGGCGGCATGTGAAGGGATCAGAGGAGACCATCCCCATGGCTGTCAACAGGGTACCACACAAAAATCAGAGTGCTGATCTATGGCCACCTGCAGGATGTAGCAGGTGACCTGAACTTGATTTTAAAAGTGAAGCATTTACCAAATTGCATGGGAAATTCTGGTATTGAAAATATCCTCATTTTTCCTGGTGAAAATCTAAAGCTTAGGATCCAGCTGGTTTTCATGAACAACCTAGGGAGCTGAGAAATGAGGAGAGTGTCTCAAAAGTATCTTCCTCATCTCCTCTCCCAATCCCAAGGGTATGGAATGCTAAAAAAGCATTTGGTAATTTAGATGGCCTTTTGACTTTTCTGAACGGGGTATTGATTCCACCTTTGAAGGAAACATCCCATTCAGAGCACTGTCACTTCTGCTTGTCCCACGGTGGTGCAGAAGCAGGAAAAGCAAGGGAAAAGCAGCTGTGGAAGATTTAGCTCAGAGCTGGAGCCCAGTCCTGGATGTCACCTTTCAGGAGAAAAGCTTCCATATTCTCCTTCAGGCAGCTCTAGAAACTCTGAAGGGGTGGGAAAGAACAGGGATCTGCTTCTCACCAGCAGCTGGCCCAGAGCAGGGAAGCCAAATGTCTGAGCATGGACATCTGCAGAGTTGCTGCCTGTGTTCGGGCCAGCTGTCTGGGACTCCCAGTACAGTGAGCAGAGAGAAGCTGTTTGAGGATGTGATTCTTCACTGGTGCTGTGGGAGCCTGAGTCAGGGCAGAGGAGATGCCCTGTTTCAGTCTAGAGGAATGATTGCCACGAAGGGTTTGGAGTGAACTCACAGGCTTGTCAAAAGTGGGGTTTCTTGTTCATTTTCTGCCACAGGGTACACTGGGCTCATGACCAGCTGAGGTGCCTTCTCTAGAATCATTCACAAACAGTCTCAAGGATGTTGGGTGATGTGCCCGGGCAAAGGCAGTGACAAGAGGCAGGAGTCTGCTGCACACTGTTCACTCTCACCCTGAAGCCCTCACTGGAAGCCTCCCCTGCATGGTCCCCAGGGAGAGGATGAGTTTCTGCAAAGTTCCTTTGGTTTCTGGGTGCAGGTGAATAATGGTGGCTGCTTGGTTGTGTCGAAGGGCTGCAGCTGGCATGAGGATTGTTAGCACAGAGAGACCACAGTGCCACAAAGCTGCCCTCATGGATCTGCCTGCAGGGTTTGGCCATGCGTGGGACATGGTTTGGACACTCTGCAGCGCTGCAGCTCCTGCGGCCCAGCAGATGTGGCACTGCAGAGAATTGGCTAAGCTGGGCATGGGAAGGTGAGGCAGCTCTCCAGCTTTTGAATCTACTGCAGAAAATTTGTGGGAGCTGGGGGTGCAATTGTGGCACAGCTGGGCCCTGCAATGGAACAGGACAAAGGCCGTGGCTGTGGGAGCCAGGAAGGCTGGGATGTGACAAAGCTGGGGAGGAAGGTGAATTTGGAGAAGGAACCGGGGGGTGGGCTCTGTTTTGATCCAAAAGGAGCATGGCAGTGAAAGGGTTGTGGCCTCCAGTTGAAATGTGGAAAGAAAGTGCTGAAACTCTTGCCAGATCTGTACAAGGTTATGATCTTGGTCTTGCATTCCTGTCTTGGGCAAGGTTGAGGAACACCAGCTGCTTTAACAGAATCTTCTCCTTCTTTCAGAACAACCTCCTTGCCATGAGGACCTCACCTGAAGAAGAGTTTTTTGTGCAATTTGTGCTGCTTCTCACAACTTTTTGCCAGCACAACCTCACTGGCACTTGCCCTGCTGCATGGGAAGCTGAGCTGCACACCCAAGCTGTGAGATCCTCCAGAGAGAAGCTGCTATGCTCAAATAAAGTATGTTAGAGAAAGTATAAGGGGAGGAGGCAGGTGTGTGTGGGCTGAAATGGAAAGCCAGGGGCTGGTGTGATAGATTTATGACAAGACTGGAGGAGAGGCTGAGGAGATCTACTTATTATAGTTTAAAAAATGGTCCCATCAGAAGACTGCCAAGAGTGCTCCACTGTGCAAATTTATGACATGCAGTGGGAGTGATCATGTGTTCTTTACAAGCTAGCTAGAAAAACACCCACTTTTTTGCCATGAATATTATTCACAAAAGTGCATTAGAATTCTTTTTCCCCCAAGGAAATTGTTTGCTTATTAATGGGGGAAAAACGCTCCTGCATTAATGATAACCAAAAACTGACTTGATTTTTGAAGTTGCAAATTTGAGTTAAAATATTACTTTGAAATTCTTTTTAATTCCAGTTTTTAATTTTAAAGCAAATATATTTTGTTTTTCAGAAATACATATAAGCCTGGAAAACCTAATTTTTCCTGCTCAAACATATTTTGCAGTGGGATATGTCAGCTTTTCTTCTTAGCCATTATTGATACCTACCAACAAAAGTAACTTGCATACACTGCCACATAACCTGAATATTATATGATTTAGTCATAAAAAATAAATATTTCAGGGTCCTGCATTAAAAAAAATTCTTAATTTTAAGCAAATTTGGGATTTGAAGCTTTCTGGAAGATTCTTTAGGAGTGTGGCCATGGAGCATTTTGCACCTCTGTCCCCAGTGTCATGAGCGAGGCACCATGAATAAGGGACCATGGCCAGAAAACTTGCCCTGTGAGACACTAAGGGGTGTGGGAGTTCTCAGTCTGGGAAAAAAACCAACCAACCGAACAAACACCCCCCCCCCAAAAAAAAACAAACAAACAAACAAAAAAAAAACCAACACAACAACAAAAAAAACCACCACCACCAACATTTTTGGGAAGCCTGTGTTCGGGCCATGTCTGGAGCAGGTCGTCTGGAGAGATTGTACAGAGTGCTGGGCTGGCTGGTATGCAAGTGAAAAAGACAATCCTTTCCAGCCAGGGGTTAATTACTGAGAAGAAGCTGAGCTGTGGGCTCTGCATTAATGAGGTTTTGGGAGGGAAATGTCAAAAGGCAGTAGTAAGAGTCCCACAGAAATGTCAAAAATTTTGAACCTGAGCATTTCTCTGTCCATGTCCCACCAGGAAGGAAAAGGATTTGTATATATGACAGCAAGATAAACAAGTCTACAACTGAAAAAAACCAGACAAAATTCAAGCAGATCAATGTCATCTCATGTATCTTATGATGAATGTACTGAAATGACTGAAACTTCATATTAAGGGGCAAATCTACTGTTTCACAAAACGTTTTACATCTCTGTTTTCCCCTTTTCATCAGGTACAAAATCAGATTAAAAATTACTTTGGATGAAAATTGACCATTCATAAGGGCTAATGGTGAATTCTAAGTCTGAGTGTACAGTGATACAACATTAAATTAGAGACGAATTTATCCCTAAGAAGTATTATTTTTGGTGGGGGTTCACAGGTTGAAAGCCAACTTCAGCCCCTGAGTAGAATTGCTCCTCTAAATGTAGCACATTTTTGGAAGCTAAACAAACACATTATGTGCATGATAAGTAGATCATATTCTCTTTTGCACTAGTGGCAATTATGGGCTGTCTTTTTCAAGGTTGGATTTTATATGTGAGGGGCACACATATAACATTTCACAACAACCTTGACTCTTCAGGAAACCAATTTACTGTAAAATTACACTTTATAGACTTTTTTCGTAGTGAGTTTTTAATTATAATTTTGTGAGTGTCCATCAGCTTAGTGTTTCTTCAAATCCTCAAGCACAAAGCTGGAAAACAATGACCAGGTCTTTGCAGAAATCAGTGATTTTCACATTCATTTATTGTCTATTGTAAGTTCCTCTACACTGCTAAACTGAAAAATCTCTACAAGATTTCAAAGAACCCCCTAATGCCAAGAAATGTGCAGTAATAAATTGTCTTGTGTTTTTTATTACAGCCCATGAGGACAGAATAAGTTCAAGGACCCGACTGCATAATTAGTTTTGAGATGAGTAGAATTCTCTATTTTAGAGGCACCTGACATTTGAGGCTGATGGGGGATAACAAGGTCAAGTAGCAAATAATATAATAAACTCACTGAAATTTATAAATCTGCAAGTTAGACTGAAGAATTTGCTTTCATCTTCAGAGCATCTGCTGCTTCTCAGGAGGGCATGCAAGAATTTTACCCTTTCCCTTTTTTTATTTTAAATTTCAGTCACAGGGACTATGTTAGGACTTAAGAAGCTGCACTATTTCTTGGTGTCTGTTTTGGATTTAATTGACTAATGAGACTGGAAACACTGACTCTTCTGATTTTCTGTATTTAATGCTGGTCATGCTGTGGCTGAGAAAAAAGAAGCTCTAAGAAATGGCCTCAGTTTGCATGACTGTGAGGGAATCTAATTTATGCTGCATGAAGAATAAACACAAGTATATCCTTTTCCAGGGCTGCCAGTATTCAAAGGGGTGGATTTTGAAGAAATAAGGTGACTAACAAAGTTGTCTGGTCTGAGGAGCTCAGAGCCTGGAGAGTGGAAAAGATGGATTTCTTTCAGGTACAGATACTAAAACTATCCAGAAATGGTATTCCAGAGAAGAAAATACACAGGAAAGGGCAATGCTAGGGTAAGCAGACAGCAAATGAGGTTCAGTGAAAGAAAGAAAATAAAAGATGATAAATACATATAGCTGTGTCAGAGGTTGGGAAGAGGAGATGTAAAATGAGAACTGCTGAGTGGGGAAATTAGTTAGACCTGAAAGATATAAAGTGGGAAAATGTTCTTTGCCTACATGAATAGAACAAGAAGAATGGGAAAAGCCCCAAGTATGGACCAAGGATGCTCTAGATACAGATCCCAGAATAAAGAATTGACACTCGAGCACCTAATGTGAGACTTAAGCATAATATAAACCCCCAAGCCAGCTGCCTCCCTTTCTGTAATGACCTGGCTGCAGTTCAGGGGTGCTCTTCTGTTTGAATGTGCCCATGCTGCCTTCCTTGCATGCTCTTACTTGCTGTGCAAATCCCAGTTTAGGAGGGATTTGCGAGGTACAGATTATATGTGGCAGGTTTGCTCAAGATGGCGTTTAACAGCACAATAACAATAGAAAGTAATGCACTTCTACCCCAGCAGTGGAAAAACAAGGGGTGAGTGAGCAAACAAGGCAGTGAAAGCACAGAGGAATGAATCAGACAATACAGCATAACCACACAGGCTGCACACAAGGTCAAGACCACAGAAATGAGGGTGGGGAGAGCTGTTATTTACACTAAGAGGAGCTGAGTTTTTAGCAAATGCAGTACAGCCAGGAGTTAAAGGTCTTCTCAAAGGCTGGTCTAGTAAAACTCTGTTACTGTGGTTGGCTAAATCTGCCTGATTCTCTTGCTTCCAGAAGTTACAGCATAAACCTCACTCTGGTATCATTTTAGGAGATTTACCAAAAAGCTTTCCTGCTGTGATGTTCAGATAAAATGCCCTGCTTCAACTGCCCTTGCAGGTTCTGTCCCCTTCTGTTCTGGTAGAGTGGCCAGGAGATGAATCAGTACTCGGGGAGATCCTGTTCCCTGTGTTTAACTTCCTAATAAGACAGAGGCAGTCAGGTATATTGATCCAGAGCCACCTGTGGCACCACATCTGCTCTGCTGTTCCTAAGGACTTGGGTATCAGTACAGCTCATGCTCTTGTTGGGGTTGGTGTGTTGGGGAGGAGAGTGGTCAAAAAAATAAGACTGAATTTGCATTGAGATGATCTGAAATAAATTCTCAGATTGATTGAGATTTTATTTGTCCCTGTCTAAATGGAAACAAAAAACCCAACAAAATAAAACACTTCCAGGCCACTCATTTGTTACTTACTGCATAGCATCCGGAGAGAGGAAATGTATAAAATATCTTGTGAACCAGCAAGACCTGCTAGGAAACTGTATTATGTTCTCCTCTGTTCAACAGGCTGGAAAGTCTTAATGTTTCCTGTCATCTTAAACTTCCTCTTTGCTTTATAAATAATTCCTGGATGCAAAACATTTTCTAGTGCCTTGGCCCTGCACTGAGGAATGCATGCTGAGACAAGCTCCCTGAGACAAAAACCACTCCAACAATTGTCCTCTTGATGCACTGCCAAGCAATGGAGATTTTCAAGCAGCCCCTGCAAATTGAAATGCAGCTATGGAGATCATCATCACTTGGAAAAAAAGGAAATTGTGTTATATGATGAAGGGTTTGTAGAAATGGTGAAAATAACTTTCTGTATCTCATGCTGAGTTGAATGGAGAAACTGAGCCAAATTGCCATTTGACCTTGCTTAGGGCAGAAAATCTGGAAAAGCACAAACCAGTGCAGAATATCTTCTCTCATACACCCAGTGTTAGGGAAAAGTCAGCCCTGGATCTTCCCTGAGAGCATTCAGGACCCAGAGCTGGGAACAAAGAAGGAAAGACACCTCAACTCCTTTCTCATTCCCCTCTCTGCTCCTAGAGCAAATCCCAAGAGGTGACACCTGGTGTGAGCTGCCCAGATCAGCAGGACTCCCGGGAGGTTTCTCCTGGTGTTTGCTCCAGGGTATTTCACCTCTGCTCATTCAGTGTGGGCAGGGCTGTACACCACAGCTGAATCCATCAAAACCAAACTAAACATGCTCACTGCAGCAATCCTGCTGCTATTTCATCAGGTCGATATGTAATTGTTTCTGTTGCTGGAAGGCTCCATCACCTCCTTCATTAAAATGCAAATTTTACATTAATTAAAAATGCTGGGAGCACTTGCACAATTTATGACCAAATCTTAGAGTTCAGAAACCCCCACACTGGGGAGGGGCAGCAAGACAGTTTTGAAGCTGCTGGAATAAATCCTTATCTCAGAACACTAAGGATGTTTTAGCTGATAAAGGTTCTTTGTGGACTTCTAAAATTAATTTGTTCCACCTAGATTGGGAAACAGATAAAGCAGAAGGCATTCAAGCAGAATTATATTCCTTCAGACAAATGCATCTAAAACTTTTCACACACAAGAGAAAGGAAGAAGAAAGATCCCATTTTATGCTCTGATGCAGCAGTAAGTGATTTTATTTCTTTATAACCTTCCTTTCCCAACCAGAAATTTTGCAAATTCCCCTGTACAGCTGACCTACTGTTACAGCACTGGGAACCTGTCTGCTGGGATTCCTCAGTTTGATTGGAGTAAATCCCATCTGCTCCCAGTTAGTCAGTAAGGGTAGAATTTCTCCTGAGATGTGCTGGGGTGAATGGGGAGCTGCTCCTCAGTGACACATAACAGGCCAGCAAGAGGAGACCCTCAGGCTGTGGCTGCTTCGTTTTCATGCATTGAGCTGGGACCTTTCTAGCAGTGCTCTGCTCTGGGGGGAGGATCTGGAGAGGTGCTGGGGGAGCCTGGGCTCACTGGTGTTCCTTGCTCCCTTACGAGTATGGCTGCAGGGGGGTCTGTGTCTGGCAGGGGGGAAGGTGGGAATGGTTGGAGTGTGAAACTCGCTGAGAGCTCATGACACATTCATGGCATGTGAAGCCACCTGTGGCATCTTGGCATGACTGGAGCCTTTCACTCTACCCTAGGGGAGGAAGCTGTGTGATCTCCCTGCTGGGAAGTGCCTGGAGTGAAGGATCAGGCTGCAGGAAATCTTTGCTCTTCCACCACAGGATACCTCAAGGCTATGTCAGAGGCTCTACCTCCTCGTTCAGCTAGCCCAATTTCAATTTCCAGTGCTTCACCTTTCCTGAAAACCAGGCAGATACAGCCTGAGGGTCTCATCTTGCTGACCTGGTATGTGCCACTGAGATGTAGCCTTTTCCCTTATTTTCATTAAGCCATCAGCTCTTCCCACCTGGTTTACACCCTTCTGCCCCAGGGAAACCTGTGGCAAGCCTGGTCCTTACTTCTTCTGTGCATGAACAAATCACAGTGTGTCATTTAGGGAAAAATATCCCTATAGCTGCATAAATAACCCTGATGTGAAAGAAATCTGCCTTGGAAGTGAAATAAATGGCAATGGAGGATGGCAGGTCTGAGCACATCCTGGCCCCCTTGTAAGAAAAGAGAAGCAGGAGTGTGACCAGCATCCAACAGTGTATGGGAAGAGCTAGGCAGGCTGGCACAGGGATCTCTCCCCGTGTGCCACTGGAAGTGACTGCCCCTGGAGCCTCCATGCCTGTGTTTGAGGTCCCTGTTTCTGTTCTTCATCTCCTGGAAAGGATAATCACACACACCTAACTCCAGCAGCGCCTGTGCAGAGCCTGTTTCTGCTGCATGTATAAATCAGCAGCAATTCCTACCAAGGTAAATTTTGTTAGTCATTATAAAATTGTTGTAAGTTAGGTCAGAATCCAGCCTCCTAATGGGCCCTGGGGAGTCTGGGTATGTGTGTGTACGTGCATGGATACGTAAGCAAGCGGAAGGGAGGCCAGGACTCAAACCACTGCTGTTATTCTCATTGCAATGCCCCTCCCTGGGGAGATGGGCTCCTCCTCTGGTGCCAAGCTCTCTACAAGCCAGGAATAAAGCAAAGGTTCCTTCTGCAAAGAGCCCACTCTGGTTTAGTGACAGCTGTAACAGGTGAATGATATGGAAATGTGCGAGTGGGGAAGAACAGGGTAATTATAGACACTTGCCTCTGCCCAGTCTCAGTGGGCACAGTGGCACTGCCAGTCCCAGAGCACGTGTGCCTTTCTGCAGATGAGATTTATGACTGCAGATGGGTGAATTTCTGCAAATTTAGGGCATTGCTGGGTCTGGTCTGTTATTTATGCAGAGTGATCGAACACAGACATTAATTTCTGTGAGGCAAGACTTTTTATGGCTCCCTATGGATCACAGAGTGGATACTGGATTGCTGTCCTCCTGGTCTTACATAAATTGTCTATGAGAATCCAGGATGATCTGAGACTACATTATTAGGATAGTTTCCACATTCTCAGCCCTGGTACTTAAACACAGTAAATAAAGAAATGAAAGATGATTTGTTTTTCACTTGGTTGAACTATTCTAAGATTTCAGGGGAAAAAAACCATCAAAAAGCATCCTGATAGATCCAGAGTTATAAATAGCAACACTGCATGTACTGGGGAAAATGCTGCATTCCTCCAGGTTCCTGTAAGAAAAAGGATTAAGAGAATGTGAAACTCATAAAATTTATGGTGGCCCTTGGCCGGATGTGATGTGTCAGTGGATGCAAGGCACATACCAAACGTGAAGTCAAGCAGTCACTGAAGATTTATATCTGCTGCATCTCTGTCCCAATAGCACCATATGTTTATATGGACTGTGCTTTTATTATTGGAAATGGAAGGACTGCCTCATCACTTCTCACTGGAATCTCACAGATTTGTTTTCTGAAGGACACTGAGAGCAATCCATGCTCCCACTTATATCCTGGGTCTATTTTAGTTTAAAGTAAAATCTAAAATATGTGTTCCTTCTTCTCGGCAAGGAACAGGATTCCTGAAATTAGAGAATGGGAGCAGGCAGCAGCCAGCCACCTCATTTCCATTCTTCTTGTTGTGAAACCTTGTCTTCATATGTAGGACTTTATAAAAAATTTACATTTTCCTGG